GCTTTCAGGGCGCGTTACCACTTAGTGGAGAAGGACCACGACAGGTACTGCTGACGAGACGAAGCGAATGATGACGATGTGTCTGCATGCTTTGAATGAATTTCTAATATCGTTCATGTTTAGCGGCGAGGGCAGCGCCCATTCTTCCAGTAACAGCGAAGATCGGTCGAACCACGCCGTTGCTAGGGCGATATACATCCATCCGGACAGCAATAATGTCATGTATTTTGCATGACCAAGATACTTGACTTTCAAAGCTTTTTTTGTATATATCTTGAATCTAAAACACATGGATATGGTGCTATTTGACTACGACAATATAATTTTGTACCAGACATTGCATGGTTGACTTGCTTTTTGATGCTGGACTGACAAAAGCGAATTACCGTCGAACAAAACGGATCACGTTAGCTGATTTGTCACTTGACGACCGTTGTTTTATTTTCTGTACGATCTTTTGTCTTTCTTGTATAGTAAAGACGTTGCAGACTAGAGTTATGTTTGTATATGTCCTACGTTTCATTAGCGAGCGTCGCGTGCACGCTATTTTGTATTTAATGACTGTTTTTTATTTTTTCTTATTTTGTAATCACATAGTAAGAAGCAGATTGCAACTATGACTGGATTTTGGTCTTCGTCCAGCAAGATGTCGTTCGAAAAGCAAGAGTCTCTGCTGAAGCTGCTGATACTTTCATTGGCGGCCGTACTAGGTATTCCGGTTGTTCACAAACCATGATTATCGGTAACGTTGTCACCTTCTCTTAGCGTTCTCATCGCGTCTGTTTTCCGTTTTGCGATTCGAAAGCGTTATTCATGAGTTCGATCCATATTTTAATTATCGAACAACCAAATTCCTCGCTGAAGAAGGTTTCTACAAGTTTCACAACTGGTTCGACGACCAAGCGTGGTATCCGTTGGGCAGAATCATAGGCGGTACCATTTATCCAGGTAACTGCCGTTCCGTTACTAGTATCTATCCGTTTTTATCAATTTCATTATTATAATGCCAGTTCTACTAATAAAAATATAAGAAAGTCGGACGGCGTACTTTAACGTTATGGGTAACAGGTGCAGTAGGAAAATTTATGCTTTACTGGTACGTCTATTGTTAATACGCCGTACGAGGTATTACCTCCGCTAAAAGCCGATGCGGCAAAATGATCACATGGCATCAGCGTTTTTATGCAAACTGATGCCTTTTTGTTCAGAAAATCACTAATGCATATGTTCACCAAGGCTTAGGGCAAGCTGAGCTCGAATAGCCAATGTTGATCGAGGTTAGAAGGACACAACAGTTCGGATCATTTTCTAGGG